GATTCGATGCCCGTTATTTACTCTCGCTGCGTTGCTAGTTGTTTTTATTCAGCGCGGCTAAAATTGTTCGCGACGGCAAAACCGCGGATTTGTTATGAGTTATACATAATTGAGCAGCGGTGGTCATTCATATTTCATCGGCGCTCGCCGCCGCCACTGCTACCGCTGCTGCCGCGTCTAGATTTTGTTTTGAGCTCGCGGTAAAACGCGCTGCACAAAGCAGCATAGCTTACTACCACGTCCACTCGCGAACTGTCTGCATTATGCACTCCACCCCGGTCGTCCTGCCATTGTTTTAGTCCACTCACTCTTTACAAGTGTCTCCTACAAGGGTTCTCAATCGGCGAGAGGAGTAGAGCGAAGGATTCTACCACGAGTATAGATTTAGTCCACTCGCTCTCTGTATTTTCGGACTGACTTGCCCGACGATAGCGAGTGGTGGGGAATTTAGACTTGTCTGAAGTCTTGCCAATGGCACTCTCGCGTCGCGCATGCGCAGTGGCGGTTGTGTACTGGCAGCCATCACCGACATCGCAGCAATAACTGAGCGTCAAATCGTAAAATATCGCTTTTCCGATTTCGAGTTAATATCGTAATATCCTAGAGTGTTCACTTACTCGGCCGTTCGCTGGATATCTGCCCGAATTCTAAATGTTCTACATATAATTTCGAAATTCTTCGGCCCAAAATGCGCTCCGTAAACACTCACAGAGAGTGAGCACGTTACGCGTGGACGCATTCCGCACGTGCTGCTACTGCTGCTGCTGCTGCTGCTGCTGCTGCTGCTGCTGCTGCTGCTGCTGCTGCTGCTGCTGCTGTTGCTACTGCGTCTACTACTGTTATACTGTTGTTGCTGCTGCTACTACTGCTGCTGCTGCTTCTGCTGCTGCTGATGCTACTGCTGCTGCTGCTGCTACTGCGCCTACTACTTATATACTGTTGTTGCTGCTGCTGCTACTGCTGCTGCTGCTGCTGATGCTGCTGCTGCTGATGATGATGCTGAATGCTGCTGCTACTGCGCCTACTACTGTTATACTGTTGTTGCTGCTGCTGCTACTGCTGCTGCTGCTGCTGCTGCTGCTGCTGCTGCTGCTGCTGCTGCTGCTGCTACTACTGTTATACTGTTGTTGCTGCTACTCCTGCTGCTCCTATTGCTACTGCTACTCCTGCTGCTGCCGCTACTACTGCTGCTGCTACTGCCGCATGCAGCTCCTATATACTGCTGCTGGTGGTGGCGTTGGCGGTGGTGATTCTGCTATACTGCATTAGAGCGAAATCGTAACAATGAACACTTGACTCATTTTGCCGCGCGCGTGACGGCTTTTGATCGTCGAGGGTTTTTTCCCCGTCGTCACTCTCCGCCGTCAGTCATACGCGGCAGTCATCGGTGGTCACGTATACATCCATTCAGAAATCAATTAGCGCGTTCGTGAGCACCGTGATTATTCACAAGCCAAGTCTGCCAGCGTCGGCGAGCCAATCGCACCAACGTCTATACGTACACTCTCGCTCTCGCCACTCGGAACTTTCTCGACAAATAGCGCGATTTTTTTACCCCGTGAAAGCTTCGGCAGCGAAAAGATGTATGAACGCCAATACTTGCGCGCACGTGATGTCGGCAATGGACGCGTGACGTCATAATGGCGGCGATGCGGCGATCAGTAATCACGTGACACGTTTGTAAGACGCGTACGGTAAACACGTGACGCATTACTGCGCGCGGTGCGCAATATCTGTACACATGAGACACGCTAGCACAGTACACACGCGGGTATATTAATATAGCTATTATAATATTATTAAACAATCGCATATATAAATATACTATACGTAATACATAGTGATACACATGCTCTCTTGTCACGTAACGCCCGGGACGTATTTCTATAGCAGAGAAATAAACTCGACCATGACTGGTTTACGGTAAATAGTAAACGCAGAGATAGACCGAGAGGTAAAAAATAAAAATAGAAATAGAATATATGTAGGAAATAGAGAAAGACGGCAAAGATCCTGTCATTGGGAGACGATTAACTTGCGCTAGTGCGGGTAGAGGTCACTTGTGTTTCGTAAACGGTAAATAGGATTCCCGAGAAATCTTACGCAAATCTATGTAATCTTAGGATTACTATTGAAGAGTTTATAATTCTTTAATTTTCATAGTTCTATGAATAAAATGGTATGATTAAAAGGTATGAAATCGCTATTCGTCAGCTTTCAGCAAGTCCGCTGACGTCACATTGACATCATTTTCACCCCTCCCGCCCCCAATTTAATATAAGCAGAAACGTAAAAAAATTTTTTTTAAACGTTTAGTGGTCATTCATAAACAATTCAAACTTTTAACATTCTGTGGAGCATTAAATTCGAGAAACGCGAAATTAAATGTCACATATTCTTTTCTAAATATACTGCGAAAACCCTAAATCTGTCATTCATGAACATTCACAGCTCCATATTTTACTAATTGTTCCCCCAACTATACAGCGCACTAGAGAATTAAAAGTTGTCTCGTAAAGCACTAACACTAGACGGCGCTTCGTCCTGGACAGATGCTACTATGGGTGAGCTTGCAACGCTTTACGACCCCTTTTCTAGTCTCGCGTCCCCCTACGTCTACCCGTTGCCGGATCTGCTAGACGAGTGTCTTATACGTTAGTATAGTCACAGTGGCAAAGTCGTATACATGCGTAATAACGCAGTAAAGTCGTATGATGATAGTAATGGGTCAGTACTAAAGTCGAGGACGCTGGCGATATCGTGGTAAGCGCTCATGCGCCAATAATAGCGCGAGTTCGCGCTTGCGTTTTAGATCACATTTGATGTGTTCTAGCAGCGGTTATGTATAGCAATAGAAAAACACGAGCCGTAAAATGACTGATGTTTGAAATGGACTTATACGATTATATGCGCTTACGTGAATATTTTAGTAAATAATCAATGACGGGCTGTTTTATCTCTTTGTCTGGTAATGTACAGAGACGACAAGTTACCCCATTTACTTCGGAGGCTAGACTAGAAATCCTATAGTTACTGGTTATTGTGTGTCATATTTCTACATTCTGCCTATGCTACATCTGGTATGGGTATCTGCAGTATAGTGCCGCCATCTATCGAGTAAAATGTATAGTGTATAACTCCTGAAATATGGCCAGATTTAGGCCACTGTGTAGTAGATACAATAATGTAACCCAAACACAGGATAGGGGCCTATTCGCCTATCCTGTGTTTGGGTTACATTATTGTATCTAACTGTGTAGTATTCATCCAGACACACGTCTCGCTATAGAGGGTTCCGCGATTTTCATATTACCCACAATGCAACGCCGCCGGCCATTAGGGTTCCAGAAACCAGTTCAGGCATGGTACAAGTACATTGAGCAACGCACCTCTGCTCATTTTATTCGCCTATTAAGCAAATCCATCACAACGCCGCTCTTCTGCGGAGTTGTCAACTGCAGCAATCGGTATCATAGAGAGCCACACAGCTTTTTTAGGCTGCCTAGCGTGATCACAATACAAGGTAAAGTGACGAGAGACCATGCAGGCGGACCACAGACGTTTGGAGCATTTTCAATAAAAAAGCAATGCTGAATAAACACGAAATGTATTTACTACCAATGTTTCTCTACTCTCTTTCGCCTTGTATTGCCGATAATTACCTGTAAATGCCGGTCAAATGCTCATCTGCAACACACAGGTACACCGCACGCCGCTACATATTTGCACTTATATACATATATCGCCGGCATCCAGTAGGCAGCTGTTTGAGTGGGGGTGGTGATTTCTCTTGCACGTGCAGCACACTCTACATAAAATAGCACCGAGGCAACATGTGAACAGAATTCACCAAGCCCGGCTTTACAATTACAGTGTGCTGACATGATGCCTGTCCAATATTCTCTCATCATGAACCATGCACGGATAGAGAGATGGTATAATCAGAGACTGGGAGTGCATAACACGTGCTCGGATAACGTAGATGGGACTCTCACTGTTCACATGATAGATGTAGACTGATACACCACTAACCCAACCGCAGAACAGTCGATCGTAGGGATCCAGGCTTTTGTAGTTCTGAAAGTGGACTCGGCTTGAATGTTAGGTAGTTCACGAGATCCAAATAGGTGTGTGATGGAAACACATTGTGGTCCTCACTCCATTCGGCATTGTCTATTTGGTACGGGTCTCGATTCCCAATGCACTCAATTTTCTCGAGATAGAGTGCTTTGGCTACGTTGTCTAGTGAATCAAAGTACTTATCCATACTACGTACACTACAGACAGTCGACAAGCGTGCATACACTAGCTATTATAAAAAAAGCAGCGTTTGATAGCTAGAGTAGATGCAGTAACATCGGTGAAATTTCTGAACTCTCACGATGTAAACAAACTCAAGTCTATGAACATATATGTTGCAAAACCGGGCCTGCGCAATCTCATCGAACTAGCAATTAACACAACCCCAGTTGATAAACCTGTCTCCAAAATCGGGATCCACTTACTTCTAATATCTATTGCAATAATAATACTATAGCCAATGTAAAATCGGTTGATTGTGCAGATCGGCAGATTACACGCAACACGTGTTCGCTCTTTTTGGAACCGAGATGGCCGACGGCACAGGATTGTAGGTAATATTTTTAGTGCAAATCGCGGAACCCTCTATACGGTTTATTCGTTATATGAGTAAGACTAATGTTAAGTCTAATTTTGTTTCTGACAATGGGCTTCGGCTTTATCATGACATACTATTCCCGAACATCCGCTCTATATTTAATATAAAATCGCAAGAAAATAAGAGTTTTAATGGTAAACTACTACGCACAGCTATGATCCCATAATCGATCCTACGTTTAAAAAAGTTTATCCGTTAGTTTAATGATAATTTTGTAGTGGTCATGTAACAGCGGTACGTTGTTAACATGTATTCAATACTGATTGTGCATTGTAGCAATAATTACACGATACGATATAAATAAATCACTCAAAGACACGGCGATCTTGCTTTAAACTCATTTATTTTGAACAGTCTTAATTGTATATATTACACAACAAATCTGTAACACAACAAATCACCATATCATTTTAACCTATTATTTAATATATATGACAAAATGCAACAAAATTAAACCAACTATACAATAGCAACAAATTTTCAAATCACAGACAAATCGATGTCAGGGTAACTGCGGTATATATTACCCACAATGCCGCCAGAAGGTCATCACCGAATGACCACCACCGGCGCATCAAACGTGACGTCATAACAATAAGTGATGACGCGGCTGTGGAGGCAATAGAACGCCGTGAACATGCCCCACGCAGGCCGTGCCGAGAGAGGGCGCTGTCTGGAATGATCCTGGGGTACAACGCACCCAGTCTCTCTAGTCACGAACCTCTGCGCGTACTACCAGCCGCTCCTGTCCGCAAGTGTGGCAACATACGGGTCCGCACGTCCGAAATAAATGCAAGACAAGCCTGGATTCGTGCGGCGCAAACACCGCAGTCCGATCCGCGTCCGTACACATCCTTGCAATGCGGAACGTGTGCGAATACGCGGATTGCTACTGGCGGAAAATACTCAGGTTTCCGGCCCATTGTCTGCACAGCGACACAGCCCTGTGAGTTTGCAGGCAAGCCCGTAATAGTATACAAAACGCGTTAAGAATTTCTCGCAGGGTTCACAGTGCGGTTTTTCGAGCGGACAGGAGCGGCTGACAGTCGGGACACGTTTGTATCCGCACTGACTGTCCTTGTCATGTGTTCATGACCGTCTTCTTTCTATATATATTTCACTAAAGATATGAAATACAATACACGTGCGCTTCTCTGTCTGTTTTTTAGATCGGAAATTCCAAGGTTCGGGAATGATAAAGGAATTCCGTTTGTCTCAAAACTCGCCAACACCTGCATCCCTGCTAAACAGCCAGCGGGAGCGCGGCGTCGAGTTGTGCGCATGCGCCAACGATCACGTGATTCTGCTACCATGGCAGCCTTCGACGCATCCGGCGTGACGTCACTGAGAAAGAATACACGTCCAGAGGCCGTTCATCATGTTCAAACATTATATATGTTAAGGTCTCTGGCAATGCCCGCGTGACGTCACATATTGCCAACGTCATCTAAAGCCAGCATGCGCACACCTACACGCGGCACTCCGTTGCTCTGTAGGATATCACAAGAACCAGTGAATAAGTGTTACAAAAATATGCAAGAGGGTGTATACTATTGTATATAACTATACGTATACACGCTAGTGGCACTTTAAGCAACGGCTGTATAATAGTGCGTACAAAATTCAAACAAAATCAGTCTGGAGAGACTAGATCAATATAAATATGAGATTCCATCAACTGGTATGCAAACCACACGATCTCTAATAGCAGCCGGCCATATTATTATATAAGATCTACAATATTATTCTAAAACGCGATAAAACGCGACGACACGTTATAATAATGGTAATAATAATAATAATATCATTGTGTTTTTATTTTATTGGAAACCCACTTTCGGGGTAACCCCATTTGCCATTGGCATCGTACAAAATAGTTGCATTGAGTAGCTGTCACAAAATAATGGACCCGTGCCCTCTGGAGGTTGGCATATATCCGAATTCCAGATCCTGGAAACCAGGAGATGGCTTGGGCACCGCCGGTCGGGCTCCACGGGCGGATACGGAACGCGATCCCGGATGCCCGGCGGTGGTTCCAGACCGACGGCGTCGAGTCATCCAGAGCCTATTTTCCCGTAAACACGTCACACATTGCCAGAAAAGTTTTTGGTGGTCTCCACTGGGACTGTAAATCGAGACCGCCAGACGGCGCTAGAATCAGCAGACCGCGCCCCTAGTCACTCACGTGACCTCCCGGCTGATAGCTCCCGCCCGTCCTCGACGCGGACGGTCTATCCTTGCCCAGGCGGGCACCAGCTGCCGATTCCCCCCGATCGTAAGTTATAAATATAGGGACCTTGTTCTACACCAACACCTGCTACACACGCGACATCACGGCTCACGATTCGCAGCGTTCGTGGGCTACAAATCGCAGTAACTAGCTATTATAATAGTACGTACGGTGGCCGAGGAGGGTTACGCCATTCTCGGAGGGCTACACACGCGCTGTCAGGGTCAAAGTAGATACTACGTCACTCGTTGTGGGCCGGACCCACCTAGTCTGAGTAGTATTTCAAGTGGGCGGGCTCGAACTAGGGTTAAAGATGATGTTTCGTTCAAGGTTAGCGTTGGAAATCGCGATAGGAGTTCGATTATCGAACCCTAACGCCAATTTTAACCCTAAAAATGTTGACCGGTGCAATGCACCTTCGCCCTGTAGAGACGGCCCACGCCGTCCCTTAACACTTGTCTTGTTTACCTAACCCCAGCCTCGGCTCGCGGTGGGCAGCGCGTTGTCCCTCCTGAACCACCGTACCGAGTATACGAGAGCGCATGCGCACTGCGCGTTCGCAGCGCGCTAACAACGACTACCACGGTTGTTAATTATAAGTATATCATTGGCACGGATGCGCACAGGAAACTATACATTATCTCTATTCCTAGATACGCGCTAAATGCTGCGTGCGTCGTGTAGTGCAGCGGTCAAGACGCTAGGTCTAGCCTCCCGCATGCCCGACCCTCGTGTGTGTTTATGTGTTGTGTGTGTGTGTGTGTGTGTGTGTGTGTGTGTGTGTGTGTGTGTGTGTGTGTGTGTGTGTGTGTGTGTGTGTGCGCGCGCGCGCGCGCGTGTGTGCGTACCAACCCCGCCTACACTCTGTGACAGCTTGCCTCCTATTTGAGAAAATACTCTTGCTGCGTTTATCACACCGTCGCAATGTTGGCGACGATTGTCTTGCTTCCTGTCCCACTTCTGCTGCACTGCTACTAGTTCTAGCGGCACCCTGTAACGTATTCCTTGCACCCTGTAACTCTACAACAATTACCCTGTGCCTTGTAAGATTGAGCAACGCAGGGGAAATGGGTCATGAAACCAAACCACACTATGTTAACGAGAGTTTATAAAATACATCTCATGCTAAACTATTTGCGAGCGACTAACCACGCTAAGCGATGATCGCATACATTTACACGCGTGTGTTAAAATGATTACAGATTCGCACGATTACAGGTCATGATCAATGAGGCTATAGCTAAAGATCGTCAAATCAAAAACGTTTCGTCATCAGTTTCGAAGGGATAGATAAAAAAATGCAGGACGTATCATGAAGGAAAATATACACTCGAACACTCAACGTTTTTTAAATGGTTAAAAAATATAAAACTATGGCCATTTTAATCTTTGCCCGGACAAAAAACGCGTAGAGTATGTTGATATTTTAAGAAATGCGCAGCAGAATGAAGAGTATGACGTATGATAACATATGATTATGAAATTCGTGATTGATGCTGATGCTATACAAACAGTCAGAAAAAGTCGATAATATAAATTATTGTAGTAGTTGTCTTTGTCGCAAGCCGCCAACACCAGAGCCACCTTGTTCAAACTCGTTTTGTGATTCGCTAACGAATGATCCAGGCAGCCTGTGCGTAGACTGGCAGGCTATCAATATTCATTGTGATATATGTATCATTGTGAATAGTCTAGCGTAATCTAATGGTTTCTCACCCACTCAGTTGATGGTATTACAGACGGTGGGATTTGCAAGAGATCGACTGGTTACATTTAGTCTAACTGCTGTGTGCCAAGTCACGACACATTTGGCTCAACAATTTTACCAGGAGTCACCCTCAGCCTACCCATGTCTGATCTCTCGTGACCTCAAGTGACCTCAAGTGACTTAGAACTAACCGTTTTGTTTTCCATCGGAGAATGTGTACACATGTGTTCGTTACGGAAGACAAATTGTTAGTGAGTTGTGCGTCAGATGATACAACCGACCTAATATCTTTCTTAATATCTTCGGCTGCCTACCGATGATGATGCCACGATGACACGCCGCCTTTACATATATATAGAGGGCGCCGCGGTCTCGCTAGCGATGACTATAGCAATGACGTCACCACATATCACTTTCCGTTTATGCCTATATAATAGTTGATATGCTTTCAAGCTATTTGTATAATAACAGCTAGATGGTAAAAGGTGGTCTCTCTCTCCCTGACTATGGGAAATTCTTCGCACAGATTTACAAATTGCCTACATCAAGGCAAGTCACTTCTATATATTCGCATATATATTCCTATATATATATTCGGATATATATTCGCATATATATTCGCATATATTCGCATATATATTCCTATATATTCGCAGAAGCACTTACAGCATACTCGCCCTAGAATGACTTGCTATATATTTGCCAGATTCGCCTGTAAAATATTTGCCAGAGTTACTTGTAATATGCGTGCCAGAATTGGCACGTGCAATGTTTGCTAGTGACACCTGAGAGAAAGAGAGAAACAGGAGGAAAGGTAACCCTTAAACAATCTAGAAAATATGGCGAATGAATAATGCGTTGCCATGGCAAGTTCAAATTCTGCTTAAAAAGCGGCTAGAAAGTCGAACCGTTCTTTTATAAAACGCAGCCGAAGTTTGAACCGAAGTTTTCTGACGTTCTCGTCTGCAGATAATATCTAATATCGCGTATATTTGCAGATCTGTGACATATATCCTGGGGAGCGACCGCAGCTGACGTCATCTGTAGTACGATTATAAACCCGATCTTTGGATAATAAACCCCTCCCCCCGCCCTGCCGCCCGGCCTGGGGACACAAACAGACGGCAGTATCGCGGACTTATCGTGGTATCATCAACGTCGCCGTCGCTATCGTCGTCGTCGCCGGCGGCGGAAGCAGCGACGACGGTGGGCATCAAAGATGTGCTGTGAGATCTGTGAGGTGGAGCCACCGTCGTGCTGGGCTACTGATCCTCCTTGTCGTTGGTGATCGGGAGGAGGGAGCTGATACGGGAGACTTCCCCGGGCTTCTCCGGTGCTGATAGCAAGTCACGCAGCTCTGCCTGCGAGCAGGGGGCGCTGGTGACGTTTTCTTTCATCTGATGCGGCTTCAGCTTGGCCGTGGTCGTGAGGATCCAGCGCTGTGCACGAAGACGTCATCAATACGTGTGTAGAATACCAACTACGATAACACGTCATCACTGTGTGTGTAGACTAGTCCCCACCACAGAACGCAATCACCACGTGTGAGAAATCGTGGGCAGAAAACCGCAGAAAGCAGAAGACGGTGACAAAAACAACCGTACGATAAGAATACGTCTGCATTGTCGCTCGAACCATTGAACGACTGCCTACGTTAATAGATCAGCAGTCTGTCTATGTGCATAGAAATGAGTGTTGATCAATCAATTCATCAACTCATCGCCTGACAAACGGCCGATAATTCCCGACATCGCCCAAATAAATACAATAGCCATCGTTGTTATAGAGGGTGCCACCTACCTCCCTGAAGGTTCCCGGCGTGGAGAGCAGTTTGTAGATGGCGTAGATCGGAACCATGGACATCGAGGTTAGCGCAAGACACCAGCCACAGCTCTGCGCCCACATCGGATACTCGTAACTGAAGAAACTGCCCTCGATCTTCAGAGGAACGTATCTCACCAGCTCAAAGACAAAGATGGCCTACAAGGTACAAGCCAAAGATCGTTAGGTGTGTGTGTGTGTGTGTGTGTGTGTGTGTGTGTGTGTGTGTGTGTGTGTTCGTGTGCATGGGCGTGTGCGTGTGCGTGTGCGTGTGCGTGTGCGTGTGCGTGTAGTGTGGTGTGTGTGCGGTGGTGAGTTGTATATACTGCTGTGTGTATGTATAGATCAAGGAGCAGTAAGAAGGAGATAGAAGATACAAAGTACAGGAACCGAGACATAAAATAAAAGATAAAAGATACGACACACAAGATACGAGATATAAAACACAAGAAACAGGAAGCAAGCAAACGTGATGAAGGTGAATGACTGATTGACTGTGAAGTGTCGCAGTATAAAGAATATTAACCGTCAGGCGTGATTTACAGGCAGTTCGTGGCACAAGCGCTATAGTCATAAGGCCATCAACGCCACCGTGTGACTACCGTATGGTCCACAAACACGACAAATTGAAAGGCTAAATACTGAACGCGATCTTACCGCCTTAGATCTGGAATGTTGCCTTGTCGTAGAATTGTCTAGAATAGAATTAAATGATTATATAGTATATATACTATATATGAGAAGAGAGAAAAGAGAGAGAGAGAGAGAGAGAGAGAGAGAGATACAGAGAGAGAGAGAGAGAGAGAGAGAGAGAGAGAGAGAGAGAGAGAGATACAGAGAGAGAGAGATGAGTGCATTTATCACGCCAAGGAATTGCAAAAAAAAAGTTTAAAAAGAAGAAATAAAAAAAAGAAGTTGCGGGTCTACTGACATCACGACAACTGAAGGATAGCTAAATGATGCGTAACCGCGACGACGATAGTTGACAGCTACCTATGAAAACGACGGCGACGACTCACTCGTGACACCAAAGGTGACAACAATACACCGACGCGACATCACGCGGACGCAGACGTATTACGGCCGAGACAGAGAGAGTGGACGCGGACACGATGGCAAAGATGGCGGTCTCTTACACAGGTTACGACCGGAGTCACATATGTCCAGCAGATGCGCAGCCACGGGTTGATGCGGAACCCAACCATCAGTTCGATGTCATCGTAGAATTTGTTGGCACCTGCGGGGAAGAGAAGGCGACAAGACCGCTGTAGTGCCGGCGTTCTGCTACCATACGCTATCCTTACGACAGTAGCCTATAGGTGGCGGCAGTGTCGCCGTGTGGCACTCTTGGCGTGGGCGGGACCTCACAGTTAAAGCGAAACTAGAGCCATCTAATTCGAAGAGTTGTTTCTTTTGCGGTGTTTTTGGTTTTGAATTTTTTCTACCTTCCCACACCACGACATTCCTGTGTCTGCCTCCCCCGCACCGTCCCTCCCGATTACTTAAACTACGTTTACGGATTATAACGAAATATACCTGGTCTTCCCTTTCCGATAACCTTCAGGATCGTTGGCCGTTGTTACGCAAAAGCGGCTGCGAGAGATATTCACTGAAATGCCACACTGCTATTGAGTCATACGAACCTCAATAGGGCCAGTCGTAGCGCCAGACTACTGGCATGTGCTGCCATCTGCCGCGCACAGTGTGGACATTCTGATATGTCAGACTGCGTGACCGTGTGTGCTTCAACCACCGTGCATGGAGGACCGATCTGAAGATTCATCAAGAATGGGGATATGAGCGGCAAGGGATAACAGGAGAGGGGAACGACATGGCTGCGGCGACGGACACATTCAACGGGTAGTGATGATCGAGGAAGAGAGACGTGGGAGGCGGAAGCATCAAGAACAGCACCTACGTTATGTACTGACAAGAGAACATGTGTCATCATTAAGAATAAAAATGATTAGAGCACGTGGGCAAGGAAAAGGCCTGCGTCTCGGCGTTGTTTCTTCGAGGAATTCTGGCAGCATGCGTGCATCCTAACCTCATCCTAACGCCATTTCACTCAATCACAAGTTCCTCGCGTGTTTCTCTTTCCGAAAAATAAGTGGCGTTATAGTGGTCGCTTATGGCAGGGCGCAAACAAGGTAGCGTTGTTTGCGCGTCGCAAAAGATTAGGGCGTAACGTAATGGTTATGATATTATAACAAGCGACCATCTTTCTCAACGATTTTCCTTTACCGGATATTCTTTAAGTTATATTTTTCGTCTTCACATTAAAAAACGAAGCTATTTTTGCGAATAAAACCCTAAACTTGCCTTGGCAGGAACAATTAAACAGGTTACTGGCCAACGAAACAAGAAAACGTCATCCACACGCGAGACAAAAACTGGCATTGTACAGAAATAGCTAGACGCTACAATTGGCATTTCCGTACACCTGTTTTCGCTTTTTTTTATTCATCGGAGACTTTTACGGATGCCTCTGCGAGACGCGGCAGCTATTTTCTATTTTTATGCGGCTGCCATATTGTTTCCAGAACCGCTCCTTTACCGACGAAAATCAGAACAAACATAAGCAGCAGCGGTGGCGACATCAACTGCTCAAGGGCGCTGCAATCGCATTCAAAACAGGATGCGGCCTGAGAACAATATATACAGTTGTATATATGTACATTGTTGATTGTACATTGTTGATTGTACATTGTATATTGTACATTGTTTTACATTGTATACATTGTATACAGTAACAATGTATATATTGTTCTCAGGATGCGGCCATATCCCGTGTCACGGTACCACGTGACTCTTCGTAACAAATCTCTCTATATATAAACATACTTACAGTGCGCACCTAGAATACGGTAGACGAATCAAAGATGAAGTCAACTCACCGTAAAGCCAGCCGATGGCGATACATTCAAAGAAGCAGAACCAGAGCAGAGTCATGCCGCTAGATGCATAGTAGTCCCAGACGTAGAAGACGTACAGTCCTCCCTGGCGGCGAAGGACAGAGTTGTAAGCGCGCCGTATAAGCAGATAATCGACGCACGAGCACACACACGTGCGCGCACAAACATACGCACTCGAACATGTGCAGCCGCACATGCACGAATGAAGGCAGGCATGCACACACACGCGCGCGCACCCACGCACGCATGCGCACAGGTATACGAACTCGACACAATTATTATTTACAGTCATCGACTGTAGTTGCTATCAGGCTAATTTGACGTGTGTGCATTTCCTATGGTACTCTACATTCTATTGATGTTCCTCGAGACTGCATAGCTCGGGCGTGCTATAATCACGATGGATATGACCAGGAGTAGATAAAGGGACCCCCCCCCCTACCTTTATCTACTCCTGATATGACTCTTGACATCTTAAGCTCACAATTGTGACATTTATCCTAAATTTGGATTAAACACAATCTCTCAGGCTGATCTGTCTCGAACCAGTTGATTGATTCGATTTGTTTAGTCGAGCCGTTAGATCTGTGTAAAATTACGCGACGGTGAAAATAGGAGGCGATGAGCGTGAAACAGTCGGCACATAACCACCACAATTAGTCACGGATAATATAAACCTTCGCAAACAAAAGAAGAGAAAAAAGGTTCGCTGGATGAATTTTTGTAACACTACTCTGGCATGTAGCTTGTGAACTAATGACAACTACGTAGTAACGCCCCAGGCCGAAGAAGCAGAAATTCGGTCCCCACGCGATCTTCCCGGGTAGTATACCCACTATAAAATGATGCGTTTGGACAATCACATTTCCTTGTTCACTTATTGCAGGCATAATCAGACACTATAGCTCTCACCTCTGTGATTATAGATGCTGTAACAGTTGACTGTTAAAATGTTGACTGTAATAGTGATTTACTGTACTTCACATTAAGTTCTATAGAAATGTCAATAACCCTTTAAGATGTAATAAATGTTTCGCTCATTAAGCAACCCTGCATGTTCCTAATTTTCACGCTCACACCATATGATATTAATTATTTAATTACATAAACCATATATCAAAATTGCCTCTACAGCCTATTAGGAAAACGTGTTAATTCATTTATAAACGTTCCCACGTAAAATTCTAATTACGATGCAAGTCTCCGGGCGAATTAATTAACATATTATGTTCACTTTGACATTTGAATACACGTCATTAAACTAAATATTAGACAAAAAATAAGAAAGACTGTACACCAAAGTGCTACGCTACTTGCTTGCTCTGCTATCTATTCATCTTTCTATTAATAGCTTTCTTTTACAAATTGCCTTTAAGTTTCCCAAACAACGCGAATTAAAGATTTCTAATGAGAGAGTGAATAGCATCACAGTAATTAAATAATATAATATCGATCAGTTGGCTAAGCAATTATTAATATAATAGATATCGTAAAGCAAAGACTTCTCTGGATAAATTGACTCCGTTTCTTAAGTTACAAGCCTATCGTTTTTAAAACGTGGTAGTTTTGTCTATGAACATGCTTACTGCCAATAAACAGATATTTATTTATGACAACATACGTGAATATTCCATGCCGAAGGACAACAAAAACTTGGCACGAATAATAATAAGCGAACAGCGCGCAATGAAAGAGGCAACCCAGTACCATAGGTTCATGCTAGTTTCGAAAAAAATATCAAGAATAGAATAACAGAATGAACCTGTAAGAAAAAAAACCTACAATTACATTTGTCACCGACGGGAAGTGAAACCGAACCCGTTCTTAGCGAATATAGTGTTTGTGTATTTGTAGCCCCCCTAAAAATGTGAACGTGCTGTTTATTATTGAGAATACTACAGGTTTGGTGGTGCTTGCTGAGCTATCTCTCCTACAATTCAGTGAATTCACGGTACCCCGAACCATGGAAATGACGCGATGAAAGGTTCAGAGCTTGGTCAAGGGAAACACGTACCATGTAAAGTACTGCTACGTTAGCTATCAACCCACGCAGGTACATCGCCTTGCTATATATATATATACCTGATATATATATATATA